CTCACCCCACCCCTCCCTCCTCATTCTCCACAACTCCCACTCCCCTCCATCACTTCCCCCTCCCTTGATCACTCTATATCTATACCTCTCCCTCCCCCTCCCTTTAATATTATATGTAGTAAAATAAAATTATGTAGTCTGTTTCAATACACCTTAGTTTTCTTCATTTATTAGTGTTTAAGTTGGAACTTTGCAGATTAAGTCTGGACTTGTGATTCTATGATAATAATTGTGGAATTGGGACTTATTCCATCTGAATTCCATATGGAAAAAGTATGGAGTCCATCAGCTATTCCATGGATTCCATCTGAAAGAAGTATGGAGTCCATCAGCCATTCCATGGAATCCATCTCCAGAAAGTATGGAGTCCATCAGCCATTCCATGGAATCCATCCCCAGAAAGTATGGAGTCCATCAGCCATTCCATGGAATCCATCCCCAGAAAGTATGGAGTCCATCAGCCATTCCATGGAATCCATCTGGAATTCCTGGAATCCACCCCCCTTCCATGCATTCCATATGGATTAAGCCGGGGAGGGTAAAGTACAGCTCTTCCACATAATTTGTGACATCCGAGTCACTGCCTGTTCTCCTTCCCGTCATCCATGGCGTCTTATCATATCCATGTAGTTTGGCTGTGGTCAAGGGGGTGGGTGTCGGGGGATGATTTGGGAGATTACCGAGCTCGGAGGACGTGTACAGCTGCAATCAGATCTTTGCCGATCCTTTCCAGACTTCAAGCTTCAGCCCCCACTTCTTCTCTTCCCCTTACTCACTGCCTCGATATCCCACTTCTACCAGCCATCATGCGGCCCTCGTCGTAGCTTTGTGTTTACCGCCTTGTCATCGGTAGCAATGCGAGGTCATGGTTCCTGATTGTGGGGAAATTTATTATCTGAGCATCATTGAAGCGATGATAACATTTTGATTACATATAAAATATTCTTCAAATTTGCCTCAGTGGCACATGAAAGAGATATTTTGGTCACATTTAAGATGTAATGCTTCCATTTGCTTCAAAATGAACACAATATTTTCTTGGCAGTACCATTCAGAATAGGCCTGGCATGGCCATGTGAAAGTATAGTGAATGATCAAAAAAAAAAGAAAAAACTTCGCATTTGCCTAGAAAACACATTGAAAAAGAAATCTCATTACATGGGATAAAATTTAAATTGTTCAAAAAAGAATGTACCCGTTCACTGGTATAGTAAACTTAAGTACCTCTAGTACCTCTAGTAAAAGTTGTAAAAAGGGGTGGCAGGGAGACTTGCAGCTAACAAGGTATCAATAGACTAGCTTCATTAGCTGTCAGTGTTCAAGTCTGGATGATTATTGATAATGGAAATTAATGTGTGGTATACTAATTGTTGTGCTTAGTAATGACTATTGCAGATGAACATTTTAGGAAAGATGCTAGACTAAAGATAATTATCCATAATACTGACTGCTAAATGCAAATAATTAAAATTGCTTATTAATAATAATGCTAACTGCTAACTGCTAACAAACTAATGACAGTATGACTGGGTATCCTTATCAGATGTACAAGGTTGATCCTAATGTGGGTGGCAATTGATTTTGCTGATGCTAATCGGTAACTTTGGAAGGTAAGCGATGCACAAGGTACAGATAATGAATAATAATAATGCTAATTGCTGACTGCTAACAACTAACTGTTATGCTAACTGCTGAATGCTTAACAACTAACTGTTCTTATTAATGCTAATTGTGACAGTATGACTGACTATCCTAATCAGATGTACAAGGTTAATCCTGATGTAATTGGCAATCAATTGCTTTGCTGATCATAGTGGGAAAGTAGATAAAGATAAGCTATGCAGCCAGTACAGATAATTATTCAAAATGCTGACTGCTCACTGGTAAAATAATAATGCTAACTGCCAACTGCTAACTGCTGAATTAATGAGGGTAATTGCTGGCTGCTAACAACTAATTGTTCTGATTAATCCTAACTGTGATAGTGTGACCTGATCATTATTCACAATGCTGACTGCTAACTGCTGATAGTGTTCTTATTGGCAATACAGTATCAATTTAATCAATTCATTGGTCACGCATCACAAGGATCTGAAATCGACGAAATTCTGATGGGTCACAGGTCACAGGGGCCAGTGATGAAACCTCCTAGTCAGTCCAAAAATTT